TTTATTTTTCTGTGCTATTTTTATTCAGTCTTAGGCATAAAAAATGCTTCAGTCTTAAAACACTTTTTTTTTCCAAGGGCATAATATCGCATTTCTCAGCATGAAGAGCACCCAGCTATCAAACCATATAGAGAACTGTGCTAAACAWCTTAGGGAAAAATAAAAACAGTGTCCCAGCATTTCTATTCAAGCCTCCTTACGTGACAGACACTGCAACTCACTTCCGCAGCCACCTCTCTGTTTTCAGGTATCAGTCACAGGCGGATTACAAGCCTGGCTTAATGCACGGTAAAACCTCTAGCCAAAACACAGAGTTATTTCAGGAGTGGCCGACAGCCTAATATTATACTTAGATCYGTGTCAGGAAGGCAGCGCATTCCACCCTGGCATGTGTTGATAGCTGCACCAGACCAAGAGTGCCCTGATGCCCTATAAAAGTATTGAGAAGACGTGATTTGGGGAAGGAAAAAGACTTGATTTGGTGCAGAGCTGCATCAGAGAGCTGGGTACACAATAGCTAAATTCTGATGGATAAGGCAGGTCTAGCACCGTTTATAGTTCATTAAAAGAAAGCCAAACTTTTGCTTCCATCCATGCAACGATCCCAAATCAAATCCCAATAATTCTACTATTTGTGCCAGGATATTACGAGGTCTTCTTAAAAGAACATCTGTGAGTTAATGGACAACATGCTTACAGCTCTGGGGCTCTTGCACTTTATTCCTGGTGCTATGAAATGCCTGATGGATGGCCAGACCTAAACTCACTTTACTCTCAGAATATGATCACTTTTCCGCATGCAAAACAAGAACAAAAACGCTAAGGTCGGCAGAGATTTACTGAGGRAAAACAGAAAAAAACAAGAACCACTGAAGCCTCCCATGAGCTGCAGGAGCTTAGAATGCAAGACAAAATTGTTATTAACCGCCCTGTCCTGCCTTGATCAGGCCTAGGGCCTAAATATGAGCAGAGCTGCCACCAGGGACGCAGGCATCACGAAAGAGGATTCGCTGAAAGGATCTGAAAGAGGATTCAGCTCGCAGCTCCAAACCGATGTGCAAATTCCTGGCGGCAGCGGCACGCGCTTACCCGTCTGCGCTGCTCCTTTCCAGGAAAAAGAAACTGCGGAGCAGAATTTCTTGGCAGACTGCGGGCTCTGCAGGAGAACTCCTTTGCTTCAAGGCGACCGCATTTGCTTTACCCCGTCAGCAGCAGCGAGCTGAGAATGTGTCGAGTAAAGAGCCTTTTTCATCCTCGAGCACCACACTGGCCTTATTAATAGCTCTTAATTCTGTAGATCCCGATACCTGCAGTTTCAATAAGGGATTTAGACGAGGGGAACTCCTGCTTGATATTAAACAACGGTGTATTTCCCAGCAGAAACGAGGGCTTAATTGGCTTTCTATGGTTATTCCATGGTTGATTAGTCCAACATACATGTGGGAATCTGTCCCCTCTGGGATTTCTAAACACTAACTGTCATCGATGAATTAACTGGAACCAAGGGCATCTTTAACCCATTCCAGTGCTATTTGCAGCAGAGAAGGGCTTTTATCCCAGTGTCTCACCAGGAGTGACAGCAACCGGAGCAAGCAGGAGATGGTACCGGAGAGCCCTTCCCAAGGCGCAAACAGGGAACGAAACCACAGCCAGGTCTGGTGCAAGGGCTCGGCTCAACACTCCGGCTTCCAGCACCACCATAGCTCACGGCTCCAYGTGCTTGTGGAAGATGAACCGCGTGTCCACAGAGACGGGAATGGAAAGAGCCTCCGCTCTACGCGCTCCATGCTTGGCCAGGGACACTCCATCGTCCTCCCAGCATCTCTCCAGCGAGGAGAGAGCTCCAAGAGAGGCCAAATCCACAGCGCCCGCTGTTCCCTCCCTGCCCGGGAGCGGTTTTTGCCTGCTTGGCCTCTTGCAAACCAGGCTCGTTGTCGGTGCGGCTCGTTCTGTGTCCCCAGCATCAGGAGACAGCGCGGCCTCCTAAGCGCGCACCTCTGATCACGCAGGGGAAGGGCCTTTCAACACCACGGATGTCACTAAAACCGGGTCTAGGCTTAAACAGAACCCCATCGGTTCTGCTCCTAGCAGAAAAGAAGGTGCTTTAAGAAGTAGATAGCTGGGCTGCGCCCGGGCAGCAAAAATTCGGCCAAAGATACTGAAATAGCCGCAGTTAAATCAGATGTCTTCAGGATGCCACTGCCAAGTCCTCGCAAAGTAAGAGGAAAGAATTTCACGACTGGGTGCAGTGTAACCATGTAAGGGCAACTCTGTCCATCCTGTACAGTACAAGTACAGTTCATTCCCTTTCATGGCTCTGGGGGATCTGAACTATTCCTGTCGCAGGAAAACAAAGCACATTTTGCATCACAATACTAGAAAATGCAGCCCCAAAGTACTTTGTAAAGGGACACATGGTCTCCCAAGGGTTAATTTAGAGCGTAATTCATGCATATACACAACTAAGAGAAGAGGGTGAACTTCACGCAGTTTAGTCCTATTCCAATAGTCATTTCTTTTTCTTAAAAAGACATTTAAGGGACCTCTAGTTCATCTTGGGCTTTCAGCCTGTTTGTTTTGCATTATGGGGGAATTCCACTGAAATCCACACGGACAAGCAGAGTCTCAGGGGATTAGAGACAAGCCAACAATATTTAAACTTTTTGGTAAACGAGGCATTTATCAGCAGTAAACAGTTACTGATTTTATTTACAGTTCTACTCCCGATGCTGAGGCAGAAGCAGCTATTTTAGGATACGTCAGTCATTTCTGATCAAGTCTAATTAAAAGTTATCTTTCACTGTGTACAAAAGTAATGAGGACTGGATGCGAGCCAAGCCTAACTCTCTCCAGTTTGGAGACATGATTTGTTTTTCCAGAAAGTGTTTTCTGAGATTTAGCTACTAAAAAAAAAAATGAACTACTTCCAGGACAATCACAAACAAGTTTCATTTTCTTTTGGATGGACTTTGCTGCAATACAGTAAGCTCAAAAAAGGGAGATTTATTTATTTATTTATTTTTGTGGTATTTGGAAGGTGCTTCTTTTGCATCAGGAATTCAACATGAAGCCTTTTTTGGTCTTTTCAACCAAGTTCCTGCTTACTTGAAGCACACAAGAGTTTATTTATCTTTTTAAGTTGTGTCAGCTTGCAGAAGGGCTAGAAAATGTAAATGTTATCAGTGGGAAGACAGAATGTGCAGTCGAGTACATTTTAGTTCCTAGTTAACCTAAAAAAAGGGATCTTAGTCTGCCGATTTCAGCCATCTGCCTGCTAAAGCAGTGCCTGCAACAAAGGTTTTCTCCCGTCCTTCAGTATATCCATACGGTAACATGGATGTGAAATCCTACTTCACTTTTTGATTTCAAGAAAAGATTCAAATTCAAAAATATATCCTGTATTGCCATTAAACCTTAATATGACCTGATGTACTATGCCTGGCTCCACAGATATCTATGGAGTCTCAAAAGTGTAAGACTGTCTCCCAGAGCATGTTACCCTTCAAAACATCTAATAMTTTAACAAATATACTGTATTTAGGACTAGTTTGCCCTCTTCCTTAGTTTGGAGTGGGTAATAGCCTTATTTCACACTGCTCCGAGGGAAGTCTGAGATCTCAGTTTCCCACACCCACACGAATCCACAGCAACCGGCAAACAGGACAGGAATAGAGTTATATCTGGTGACCAGCTCTAGGTGGGGACGGCTCAGGGCACAGACAGGAAAGCATCGGCACAACCGTTTCCATCACAGGAGGAAGCCACGGGACAGRGTCCAGGCACAGCTTTCAATGGTGGTAACTGCAGAGCATCGTCCTCTGAGGCCACGTGGTGGCCTAGCAAGCACTGAAAGGCTCCGAGCTACTGGAATCTCGTTGAATGAAACAGCACAGAAAATTGAACAATCTGGATGTAACTTTTCTTAGCAATTTTTCAAAGTGCACAGATAAAGACAGTCTGAAGAACAGAGCAAGGTCAGAGATTGTAGAATACAGTATTGCAAGATCAGGATGGTTGGAAGTTCTATAAACCTAATTCTCAGAGTACAAATACGTTCTCAACATTGCAGAATTATCTTTATTTCTAATTTAAAAGCTCAAGTTAATGCCTGACATGGACTCAGCAGAGCTGGCAGYTTGTCAAGAGTGACAGTGCAGGCTGAGCAAACAAATGGTAATTTTCCTTTCACAATGACTTCTTCACAACCTTTAACTTCAAATTCTTATCACTGATGAACTAGTTCCAAGGAAAACCAAGCACCCACAGCAACCCTTTCCAGCTACGATGCAGGAACTTTGGTGAGGGTTACACCAGCAGCAGTGGAGATCAGCCAGACAGGGACCTGGCAGATAGAGGCAGTCAGCAGAGTAGTCTCTAACTGCCTGCTCTCTCCCTGCACTCTGCTAGTAAGATAACTAAAAATAACACATCATCGAGCAAAAATTTTATCTAGCCATTAAAGGGCTATCAAGCTATTTATTAAATATCACCAAAGTTATTTCTCATTTATATTATTTTCCTACTTCTCAGCATTGAGGTCAAAACCAAAGAAGTAAAGCCGTTTTTAAGTCTCTCTCACATGGCAATTCATCTACTAGCATGTCAAGCAAACACCCATTTCTGATCAAACCATGCATGACTTAATAATTCCCTGAGAACCTGTATGTCAACAGCAGAATACATGCTGTATCGTCAAGAGAAAAAAGAAAAGCTAAACACTGACAGCATAGCTGAAACAATCCCGTTATGGGCCATATTCTGCGCAAGTTTCCAGTGAAACAGTGGGCCAAATCAAGAGTGCTGCGCTGCAAAATGTGCCATTACAGGTCAGCAAAAGGAGACTAGCTGCAAGTGCACAACTTATCAATCCTGGGAGTAAGAATAAACAAACAGTGAAACTTTTTCCTTTTGAAGAAAAACAGAAAGACACTGAACAGTGTCATTCACTGAAGACAGTGAAATAGACTGGTTATAATCAGAAATAAAAACACAGCACAAGATAGATTGGAATTGTTTATTTTACATCAGATGTTCCACACCAGAGCTTCTTCAGTCAGAAATTCCTAAAAAAGAAATTCAATAAAATCTGTTACAAACTTGTATGCTTCAAGAGTTCGAGTAAATGTTTTTGACTAACTGTATAAGCAGCCTATAAATACACTGTGTACATTTTTCATCCTAGAACTTAGGTTTGGGTATGGAAATTATTCTTGCAAATGTTATCAAAGACAAGATAAACATACGTACTTGGAAACAATTCCATCATTTTTTGCCAGACGCAGAATAGAGTCATCTGATTCCCCCTTTAATAAAAAAAGATAATTCTGAAGAGGCCACATCAAAGTAGAAGACAGAAGTAAAAGCATTGCATTTTATATGTGCCGATTAGCATTTCTAAAACAAGTTAAATTCTCTGTCATCCTGCAGAAAAATAAGTAATTGTAGCTTGACATAATATATGCTTGTACTAACTAACAAGATGTTTTTCTGACTAAACAGGCTTCTGATGAACTCTGGAAAGCTTCACATCATGTTTTCTTAATGCTAATTTAAGTTATGATGCCACAAGATTAAAAAAGCAAAGGTAATGGTACATTTGTAAAGGGAAAATTCCACTTTTATGTGTGTATTTATACAAACATAATTCTCCAAAGTAAACAAGTGGGAAAAGTAAAAGAAATTAATTCTGCAAGCAAATTTGTTTGTGCCTTCAATATGTCTGTATCCCATGAATGTTCCTTCACTGCATTCTGTAGGAAGAGCTTGTGTGTCTTTCGGTCATTAGGCAAGGCCTAATCTTTTGCTGCAAGCAAAACCAGAATTCACAGAACGAATAACAGGTGACAAAGGGGACATTATTGTTTCCTATGCCAAGGAAGCACCTACCATTCTACGGATGGCTCCGCAAATGGCATATGTTTTGAACTGGCCGTTGACTCTGCCTGTTACCTTGTCAACCTGTAATTACAAGCAAGTTACTCCATAAAAATGAATTCTTACAGAATTACTAGAAAAATTTACCACACTTGCAAAGCATGCAAAGATGAAAATTATTATTATTTTTTCTTCTGYTGTTTTAAGTATTAACATGAACTTGGAGATGACACCTTGGTTAAGGGCTCAGGAAACCAGATGATCTTAAAGTCTGGACAAGTTAGAAAGAACAGAGAAAATCAGCAAAATATACATTTAAGAAACAGGACATACCAGGAAAGACTGAAGGATTATACTTGTTTAAAAGATAGGTGAACCAATTCCAAAAGCAAGCCTATTCCCCTCAGGATATGAAATTTCCATATTTTCAACTTTAAATATTTAGAGGCTGGACATTTTATTTAGTCTAACAGTTAAGCACTGGAACAGACTATTAATTTATGATTTTCCCTTTACCAAGTATTTTCCAATAGGCTAAAAAATAGCCAGAGCTGACCTAATTATACAACATGTTTGAAGGTCCTCTAATTTTACTTGTATATGAGGGCTATTGAACCACCTGGAAATGCCTCAGACCTTCAGTATTTCCCAACTTCTACCAAAGCTGAAGTGTCAGCTTTCCCACCAGATGTTTCCATTATAAAACTTACCTCAGAAATATTTATCTGAATAGAAGCATGATCCTTGGCACCAATTATTCGGTTGCTGGCAGAGCTGAGAAATAAAATCAGAATGTACATTTAAAACGAAAGGAAAAAGGACACTGGCAACGAACAGACTATTAACGCCAAATCTTCAAGAAATTAAAGCACTAGCAAAAGTTTTGACAGTAACACTCAGAAGTTTCAGACATTCCGGATGACTCTCAGAAAATGCAGTTTTAAGACAATTTAAAGGAGAATAGCGGCTAAGTTGATAGTTCTCTTAAAAAAAAAAAAAAAAAAAAAAAAGGAACAACACGAGTAATTTGTGAGAATGCAGTTTCTGTAACTTCTGTAACTGCAGGTTAGCAGCCGCTGCCACTGCGGAGCTAAGCATCACACAGCAGAAAATGTTCAACCTCTCCCAACGGCCTTTAGTCTTAACGTGCTTTATTCAAGGGATTTAAGCAATATATACGTGTCCAAATTATGCTGCCATTTCATGTCAACTTCCGAGGGGTTTAGCCATGTTTCTAACTAATTGCCAATTTGCTTCCATTGCACTAGYACCTGTTGATGCTCGGAGAGGCACCACAGGCTTCATTACATGAACGGGTGGTTACGTGTTGTGTCTGCACTGAAAGCTGGGCCTGAAAGTTTGTTATTTGAGCACTTTGGAGAAAACTCAGGCAATAAGGAATCAAGTCTTTTCAAATTCTGTACAAGCATTTCTGATACACCTTAAATACAGCCCTTACACATTCAGGGACGTTTGGAAGTGCTTTTATTTTCCTCCATGAACGCTAAAACGCTGCTGTGCTGTTGGTGGGAGGGGGTTACTGTCACGGAGCAGCCTCCGGGCGCAGCAGGCCCGGGCCCGGCAGCCCAGCTCACCATTTGCGCGGCACGTAGAGGTCCACGAACTCGCCGGCGTCGTTCTGCATCTTGCGCCTCACGCCGAGCACGGGCACCGGGCGACACCTCTGCGGGAGGCAGCGCGGCGGCCATTGCGCGGGCCCCGCTCCCCCTGGGCGCCCGCGTGGCCGCCCGGAACCGCGCGGGACCCCCCCAGGGGCCCTCCCCGCCTCCCCAGGGGCCGCCGAGTCCCGCYGGGTCCCGCCGGGTCCCGGTTCCGCCCGGGTTCCCTCCCGGTCCCGCCGCCGCGAGCGCCGCGGCGCCACTTACCTCACGCGAGCGCGCGGCGGAAAGGAAGGAAGGCGGCCGGCGGAAGCGGAAAAGGCGGGGGAAGCTCCCCCCACCCCCGCGTAGCCCCGCCCAGCGCGGCCGTTAACGGTCGCCGCGGCGCCCCCCCCCCCCCCCCCCCCCCCCCCCGTATAAGGAGGAAGGGGAAGCGGCGCCTGAGGGAGGCGGGAGGCGGCGGGAGGCGCCGGGCGGGAAGCGCCGCGAAGGGAGCGGGATTCGCCCCTTCCCTCGGCGCCCCGAGCCCCGCAGCGCCTCCCGTTGCAGGCGCAGACACCAGGGCAGACCGGGCCGCTCGGTTACAAAACGGGTATCAAAACAGGTTTTATTTCACAGCGTCTGGAATTCCACGAGTTCATTCAGGTGAAAAAAACAGGTAACGGGCTACACTTAAATTAAACGGATGAGGACACAACTGTAACAGTGCTGTTTACAGGAAAAAAAAMGTACAGCCTCTTACCGAGAGAGGTCTCCGCGCTGAGTCAAAGCATTTACACAGTACACAGAGCTACTCCCCTCCCTGTAAACCAACATTTTTCTTCAAAGCAAGAGGAGAGAACCGGGAAAACGTAAAGCTGGCAGCTACCTTGGTTATTAATGAGTTCTTGATCGATAACGTAATAATACTTGTTTGCCACACGGTGGCAGCTTTCAGGTAACGAGATAAATATTAGCACAGAGGCTGTAATGAAACGGAAAACACGAACACACACGTAAGTTAGCGCATCTCTGCAGAGCGGCTGTCCCTGCACAGATGGTGACAGAGGTACCAAGTTCAGAGTTGCATCAGTCCGAAATCCACGGTGCCACTCGAGSAGCACTTTGCCCGCTCCAGAAACACAAGCACCGCGGTCACTTCGTGCTGTCATTTTTGGCCTGTACTTTGTGCAGCTTTGAGCTCCAAGACTGCATGTGCTGGACCAAATTCTCTTTGAAACAGTGCTTTACCTTACAAAATGCTATATTCTTTACCCTAGTTTGTTCTTCTAAAAGAAAACAAACCCTCCAAGGACCTGCTACTGCCTGATGCGAAGCTACAGCTTCCATTCTGCCCAAATGCCAACTGTAACTAGACAAATTTCCACTGAATAGAGACCTCTAAGAGTTCAAAAGCATATTTTTTTTCAAGTCTGCAAGAAGTTAACTGCGAGAGGAAACTCTTTTTATACTAAGCAGGAATAAGAGTTGCTGGAAAGTTACATTTCCTGACTGCACTCACATTAACTGGAGTATTCTGCTATTTCTGGAGATACTGTGTGGGAATTTTCCATGTTCAATKTTCCTGTCCCCTCCATAATCCTTAAGTTGCAGGGTGCTGTAGCTGAGTTCACCTCTGCTTGCTAATTTCAAGACTTATGTATATGGTAGATGTTAGTATTTGGGTATTTCCTGCATGCAATGACAGTTATATTCAGTAGAAAGTTTAACTAGTAAAGATGTTGTAAACCTTTTGGAAGATAACTGGAAAGCTTATTGTCTACCTGTTAGCTATCATCTCATTTGAGAAGACTGGAAAGTCCTTTTGTGTTAAAGAGAAGTTACAAGCATATTAAACTTTACACAAATACCTTAAGTTACATACACGGAGTTCAACACGGTTACAAAAGGTTTGATAGTCACTGTAGTTATATGAAAAATACATTTTGAGCCCTTCTTAAAAGAGGAAGGGTCTCCAATACAATTTGCTGCAATTCTAATGAAGCCAGATTAGCTTCAGGGAAAACACAGGTGAAGAACAGCTTCAGCTTTGTTTTTATCTACAATAAACACTGAATACACGGAACAGGAATTTACATTATTTTACATTTTGGAGAGCAGGTATCCTTCCCTCAGTATGAGGTCTAGTATTTCATTCAGGAGTCAAACTTAAATTATAGATTTCTTACCAAGTATCAATTTTGTTCCTTGCAAAGAGACACAGTTACTCGCATCATAATATTGCTTAGGATAATAAAACCAAGAGACAATGTAAATGGAACCTTTTGTGGTAGCTGAATTGACCCCTGGTCTGGATATTTTAAAAAYACATGAAGGAACAGGCAATGGCCACAGTTATTTTACCCTCTGCATAAGCATCAGAGTGCTGCTGGACACCAGCAGTTCAGATATAGAGCAAATGCCGATTTCATGAGGACCACCACWGTGACACAACGCTTGGAAGAACAGAGTTAAAATTAAAAAATGTAGCATTTTAACTGCTGAGCGAACTTTGTTTCATTGGCTGAGYTCGTTGGCAGCCGTAACTCTGCTGACTTAAATCACAGAATAAATACTTGTTTAGAGCAGACAAGATCATACATGACAGTCACACTAAAAAAGGTACTTATTACAGACTACAGAACAYTGAAATAAAATGTGATACATTTGACAGTAAATTGCTCTTTATCAAATGCTCATTTTCCACTGAACAGTGAATTAAGATGGCACTTTGCTGCACACACCTTGTTCAATAAATATGATTTCATGACAGATTTTCCATCTTTTTAAAATAAAGTGTATTATTAAGATTAGTTAAATAATTTGAAATGGAATATCTTCAGTCTTGCTCCTTACAGGTCTATAGTATTCTATAGATGCCCTGTGCATCATTAGTGCAGATATACTGGATTTTTTTCCCTATATGCAAGGCCAATGCAGGTAAAAAATAAATGGCTATATAAATTCGGGAGTTCCTACTAAACAACATAACTAACTTAAAAAGTACTGGTTCCAGACCAGACCGTTTTAGGCACATCTTTAAAAAAATAAAGTATGCATTTCATTAATGTCAAAGTGTGAGAAGATTCTTAGAAAGATCTGAACTTTATGATGCGCTGGAATGGAAGTGATGCTTCCTTCAGCTTCCAGGAAGCAAATAAAGGCTTTARACAAACAAACAAACAAACAATACAAAGCAAAACCAACCCCCCTGCCCCAATACCATAGAATTCTTCATAGGGAAGAACAGTTTTAATAAAACTGAAAAGATAAATAAGGAATAATCAGTGGCTGTGACAGCCAACTGGTGAATATTTGTGCTTTAAATGTCCAAAAGAAAATAAAGTCCAACACCTCTTTCCGTACCATCTCTCAGACTCCACACACAGCCCCATAACGCACACCCTGCCAGTCTGAAAAACGCCGCAGGCTTCAAAGCAGCCGTAGCCAGGGGGGCCGCGGGCTCTGCGGCACGGGACGCCCGGCGGGTTCAGCAGCAGCGCTCGGGGCTGCTCTTCCCAGAACGGAGCTTTGGTTAAGACTGTTGCGTGAGCCGTCTGTAATGAGGTAAAACCTGGTTTTCCGGCAGGTAGAGGGCCAGTTCCAAAGCTACGAGCACGGTGAATTCAAAACCAATGAGATCCCTGCGGTTGAACCTGAATCTCTCTTCTAGTTTCTACAATAGTAAAAATACAAAGAGAGGGAGTGAAACAATCAGTCATCCACAAGACACCAACACACTGTTAGTCCTATTTTATACTGACTTAATTAAGTACTGACCAGGGCTGCAGCAGACAATCAACTCGGCTGTGACACCCACCCTTTCTCACACAAACAAACATGGATTAAAAAATAAGATTGCTTGCAGGATCGCTATGACATGGGAATGTATCAGCCACATACCGTTCAATAATCATCATCATCATCATCATCAAATAAGGGTCCTAATGAGATTTTGACTGATAGATTTAAATGCTAGCATACTATACTGAAAGCCTTGGCTTTAATCTTCATCTTGTTCAGTGAAATAAAGGCAAGGCCCTGTCAACACATGAAGCAAACCTTAGTACTTACATCTATAAGGTGTTTGACTTCATGTTTCCTGAGGTCGCTGCTGATCTTGGCCGCGAGCAGGACACAAGCACCAGCGCACAGTTTGCGGTTCTGTTTGTTGAGTTTGCCTTGCAGAACAAGCTTCTCAAAGTAAACATAAGCCATGGACACAGTAACGGGCTCCAGGCTGCACTCCTCGCTCAGGTTCCGCATCTCTCTTTTTAAGCTGGAGATGGAGAAAAACACACACAAAAAAACATCAAACACGATGTTTTTTATGAAACGCACTAGAAACTCTACAGTGTGGGAACCAAGAGCATACAAAGAMGACTGATATTTGGAAAACTGATGAGTATCCTCTTAGATTGCAGCAGAAGTTGGCAGCGAGCTGGATCTGACTCACAGGTTGATTTAACCTGGCTGACGGTACCTGCCGTGGCAGAGCACTCCCGCCTGCCCGCGGACACCAGCGGCCTCACGGACCCTTTTACTGTTGCTGTGCGGTTCCCTCCGAGCTCCCCAACTTGCTTGCAATTCATACCATAAGGCTGAATCCCCTTGGCCTCTGCAGTAGTGCTTGAAAGCCGTGTGGATCAAACAGTGCTTGCTACACAAGACCCGGTTACTAGAGGGCACCTAAAGGAACCAGGCCCGAGTGGGCAGGGAGGCTGGTGACACCTTTCCTGCAGTGCTGAGTCCTTTTTTCTGGTACAGGCAACTTGGGGGGGGACAGGTGCCAACTCTGTCACTCATGCTACACCTGCAATGATCTCTGTGAACTTACACAAAGCAGCTATGAAGAGATGCACAGAACAGGCTGGCAGAAAAAGCAAACTCTGAGCAAGACTTCCCCTCAGCACCAAGAGTTACACATAGCTCTAATGATTCAGCAGAATTATGTTTTTAATCGGCTGTTTCAGGGGTCCAGCAAGAGTGCAGCTCTCTCTAGATGCAACAGTGCATCTCATTGCTGAATAGCCAGAAGCTTTTCTGGAAAATGAGGCATTCTGCATGGCACAGTCCTACCCACATGAAGCACCATTCTTTATTGAGCTCCTCAGTTCTAAAATTACTCTTTATATTAGAATTGTGGTAACGAGTCCATGGCCATCAGCTAGTCTTGCAACTGAAAGGGGAAAAGTAGCCAAATGGTTCAGAGAGATAATCCAGTTAAGAGCAGAACTGCACAGTAGCCAAACAATTAGCTTGCAAGTATCTGTTTCAAGGCCTAATGCTCATTCACTGTTAATTAGCTATTAGGACACTGCAGCTGATGAAACAATACCCTTTTAGGCTGAACTATGAAGTTATCCTTCCACAGAATCCAAAGCATTCCTGTACAAGGCTGTCATCCTACAGTCTGCTCAACTGGTCACAAGAGATTAGTATTTAATCATATATACTATTAATAGATTTAGTAGTTGCTTCATGTAAGTGAAGATGAAAGCAGCTTTGTACAGTGTTAGATTTCCTCATTACTCACTTCTTGTTTCTTACCTCCTAATTTTGCTCAGCGTTAACTTGATGTGAGGAAACTTCTCTCTGAAGGTTTCATTCATATCCTTTTTAAGGTCCGAGGGTTTTACATATTCGATGACTGTTGTCTGAAACATGGGAGACAAAATTTGTCATTTCAGTACTGACAGCAAGGCCTTTCAAGGATTCTTTAAAGCAAAGACAAAACCAAATTTCATTAATCATTATTTTACGTTTCTGTCATGTCCTGCTAACTAATAGTCAAGGTTGAGTTTCTGCCACAATGCTGAAGTCTTAATAAGCTTGTAAACAAATGGCTATAAATAACAAATAGGAACATGGACCCGAAGGCCATGTTGGTTCTTCACAAGCTCAACGGGCAAAATCAGCCGTCTGTATTTTCCTAAGGAGTTCTCAAAACAAAAACACCCCCCATAGCTGTTTGTTTTCCTCTCCCTAGGGGTAGTTGCTTATAGGAGGATCTTCCAAAGGCTATTCAGGTGTGTCAGTCACTTACCATGTAAGAGGCAAAGATGAGAACCCGCTTGTGTTTCCCACAGGGCCATTGAGGATCGTCCAAAAGATTTGGATCGTACTCTGTTGCTTCACAAGCTTCATTTCCTGAAGGAATGAAGAAAGCACAACACTGGGCCACAGATACACAGCTTTAGAAATCCTGTGTTTCCTCTTCTTAAGAGTTTTCAAACAGCAACTATAAGAGTTTGCCGGTATGCTAGGGTGTGCACACGTTGCAGCTACAACCACCTGTCTGCATTCAATAAATACAGCAGTTATTAGGATTATTAATAAAAACAAACCAGACTTTTAAAATAAAATATATTTGATGTACCATTTTAGACTCAGAATCTAATAGTTAATACTCCAGACAAGTGCAAATATCAGCAGCACAAGACTGAATTCATTCAGATACACTCAAATCTTTCAGATATCTTGGTTAGATGTACATTTTTATGAAAGGAGCACATTCTTGCCATAAACTCTTTAGTTAATGCATTGCTGTGGTGCTGGAAGGCAAGAAGGACCACCTGTCCATCAGACATTTCTTGCTGAAAATAAAAAGCCTCAGGTTTATGATGAGAAGGTTTTGCTTCTTGAATTGCATAAATGTAACTTGGCCAAACATCCAGAGGACGTAATAAATGTGCTCAAGCCTCCTAAGATTCATCCTTTGCACTTCATTCACAAACCTTTGCTAGGATGTGTTAAAAAGTCCCTCTCCAACAGCAACAAATCCTTCCAAAAACACATTGCAGCAAGTGCAATGCTGCTAACAAGCACATTCACTTCGTGCTGTGTGTGCAGGTGGGAGCAGTCTCTGCTCAGACCTTACCTATCTCCGCTCCTGCTGGTATTGCTTTTGCTGTCACAGGCTTGTACCTTGATGCAGGAAGACTCCGGGGAGCACCAGCTCGGCACGCAGGAACAACACCGTGGCCGTCAGCTTTACGGACAACTAGGGCGTTGGTTGGATACAAGAATTTTGCATAGGACACAACCTTAAATAAGAGAAAACTGCAATAGTTATAAAGGGAACTTTATTGAACACTTCTTTCCAGACACCTAAAACTTTATGAAACAGAGACACCATCAGAGTTTATGTTTAGTTTGGGAGATCTCTTTCTTTACAGCAAACCTTGAAACAGGGAAAGGAGGAAAGGGGAAGAATTTGGACATGGAAAAGCCTTTCTTCCATCACTTGAGTATGGAAGAGTTGTGGACAATTTTGGGGATGGTGGAAGAGAAGGGGAGGATCACATCAACAACACTCGGGCAGCACAAATTTAATTTAAAAAGTTAATTTAAAATATTTCTTTATGTTGCTGTTATATCTTTCACCAGCTGTCCAAGGTCCAAGAATAAAATTTCCAGAAACAAGTAAGGGACTCTGACAGCCTCCTGATGAGGAGCATTATCACAACTCAATCTCAACACCTCAAACATTCAGGATTTACATGCAAACTTCCACAGCTCTGAAAGCCAGAGCTCTCATTTTATGGATGGTGAAGCACAGTTTAAATTAAATATTTTGCCTCAGGGTCACATCATGCCATGGCTGGAAGAGGCTAATGTCTCTGCATCCTCCCCTACTCCTGTCAGCAGTTTAATCATCGGCATTGCAGATTAAGAGACATGAGGCATTTCCTTACCTTGCCATCAGCTCCTAGCTCCACTCCTTCTAGTCCAAGCACCATCTCAGTGGAGACTGAAACTCCCCCTGAAGGATGTCGTTGTTTCTGGCCGTCCATTTTCAGATCACTAAAAGCAGACAAGAGAGCGTGAGTGGAAAATGCAGCACAAGTTCAACTTCCTCCATGATAAACCATTGTCTGCAGCCAGCAGGGCAAGGTCAGAGCTCCGCTGCGTGGGAACAGGGCATCCCCTCGAGCCCATTTCCAAGCAAGCATTCGTTTTTGAACAATCATTTCCAAAATGTAGAGATTCTTCCTTAAGTGAATAAGCAGATTACATCTCATTTTGTACAATTCTGCACCAATACAGCTCCTAAAACTAAACTCAGGTTTTTACATAAAGTCTTTTGCATAATATCATTCAATTTGTTACGCACTAATGCTCAAATATTTAACAATAAGCATAATTTATATTACTAGTTTCCAGGATTAGGAACTTGCCTTTCAATTGCAATTTTCCAAGCACTGTGCACACAAGCTCACACTAAGAATCAGGATTGCTAGCAGAACTCTGCCTCATGCAGCCTATCACCTAAATTCCAATGCAAGAAAGCAGCTTTCAGTTGAAGAACTGCATGGCCAGCTTACACACAAGCAGAACGTCACAGTGCTCAGAACAGCTCTAAAGTCACTCCAACAACCTTGGTGCTTTTCCATAAAATGGAAGAATATTTCCCCATTGACTATTTTTATAGCAAGCATATTTGAATACAATGCAATTCCCACCACTAAACATCCGTTTCCTTCTTCCATACGTTATGTACAGGGCAGCGTGACAACACAATTGTCTTGACAGAAGTGGATTAAAGTAAAACGAGTATTTTTATAGTGTACTTGTATATCACAGACCTTCCCACAATCATTTTAAGAGTTCACAAGGGACTGAGCAAAGCTGCAGGAAAACCCAGCTGGCAGGTTATTTCTCACAAGTGTTCTTATTTACAATTCTACACAAAAATGGAGCTCAAAATAAACTAAATGCAATATCAATCAGGCTAAATTGTTTGAGCTTCTCTTAGACTGCAAATACAGTGGCACTCAGAGCTTAGAAGAGCTGAAAGCTAGCAGAGCATCATAGACTTATTTAGATACAGTTTCATTAAAACCTCTTGGATATTTTTCAGTAATGAAGGCAAGCATCCTTCTCGGATGCTCCAGTTTAGCAGAACAGGATTTGAATCCAGCTTATTCTGCAAACTCTGTCAGCATCAGCACAGTTAGTGCCCAAAGCGGCAAAGAGACAGTTCTGCAGAGGCAACATCTGCAGAGAGGTCATCATGCCAAGACAAACATATGTTTAAGGTACAGCTTTTCCTCATTCTGCTGTGCTCTTGGGTCAACACATTTGCTTGTTGCACTAGGGAGAATTACTTTTTGACTGCTTTAGGGGTATGGAAATACTCACATCACATCACATATTCCCAGCTGGTAACAAGGATCGCACAGGGCAGGAATCTTGAGCACAAGAAGCCTGAAGACAAGCCTGCCCTTTTCCAATATTGTCTCTTGAAGTTACGGTGAACACTGGGCCAATGTCTGATTTTACTCACCAACAAGGAGCTCTTGTCTATCTATATATTTATGTGGCAAGTCAGATATATGTTCACATGCCTCAGAACCATGCAGCTACAACAACAGTAGCTGTTTAATAAGCAGTAACTTCAAAAATGGCAAACAACAACCCAGAAACTGCACTAAAAGCAGTTAAAGATTACTCACCTGATCCGTAAACTCTCCCCGTAAGGTAGGATAGAAAAAGCCACACACAGTGTTCGCTTAGCGCAGATTAATACTATCCTGTAAGTGGACAGGAAGACATCAGGATAAGAATTAAGGATCAGATGTTACATTCAGCAACAAGTTTTTTTTTATGGAACACAAACACCAGATTTCTTTTAATTTGCTCTGTAAATTACATAGACAACGCTGTGAGCTCCTCCCCAAAACAGGATGGCAGAACCACACCAGCAAATTTCTGAAGCTACAACAAATATGAACAGGCAATGTCTTTAACACACATATACTTAAGATAGGGACACCACATATTATCACAAATAGGAAACGGCTCCTGGGGTTTATTTTTGAGAGGATCCTATTGCACATGAATAAAAGGGGCACAGCTGGTCCCCAGAAGTTACCTGCTGTTCTTCGTGTCATACTGCCTCATGTTCTTGATGAAGTGCATCTTCTTCAAACTCTTGTGCCTTGGAGAGCCCGAGATGTGCTTGGTTCTGCAATTATATATATAAGAAAAGCCTTAAGTGCTCAAAAAAAAATCATAGGAGTCATGCCAGTTTTATGATCAGATGGCAGCACCAGCATGCAGGACCTCATATATTGGCGTGGAAGAGGGTGGAGGGAGGAGAGGACTGCATGCAACGAGTTAAGATTAATGCTGCTTTTGAAAAAAGTACCTTYGTACACTGGCATATTCCACTATGTCTTCTAAAAAGTCTAGAGAGCAGCGCTGGGAGATAAAACGCCTTCTGAAAAATGTACAACACCRCGAAGAGCGAACAGTATTAGTTCATGGTCACCGAGCTGAAGAGCTGCAACAGATCTATGAGTTCATGCTGAYGAAAGGCAGGGCTGGTTTTGGTTGCTTGGTTTTGGAACAGCGCTTAAGTGGGAATTTCAGACTTCGACAAGTCCAAGAACATTTCCCCCCCTCCATTCCGGGATCTTCACAGCTTTTTCATTACTTAGAATTCTGTATTTATACTAATTTAATTAACAGGAGCATTCACTATCTTCAACATAAAGGAACACTCGCCTACAAGTTGGACACCTAGAAAGCTTCCAAATACTTGTTGCAAGAAATAATATGAGGCCCCCCCACATTAAGGCAAGGGAATAGGTAAATTTAATCAGTCTACTAATATACACAGATATAGCTGCATGTTGATGAAACATTTATAACTGTGTTTTCCCTTCATGCAGGACATGCTGTTTCGCCAGCACTGGGARTCAACAGGCTAAAAGTCCGTGACATTTACTCAATAAAATTGACCGAGCTCTGAGAAAAACAATAGAGGAGGTTATTAGGGGAAGAAGGAGCATTCGCTGCCCATGTGAAACCCTGGAATGGAAGATGCAAAAACAGCAGGAATGATGTAAGGTAGTCAACCGTAATGAGCTATTACATTTACGTAGAAATATGGACCTTGTCAAAGTAAGATATATTAACATTGATGAAGTCAGCTCATTCTTTGCTGGTAGATGTCTATAAATGAACTGCARAGTCCTACGGCTGCAATTTGCACAGGAACAGGGCATTCAGTTTCAGCTGCCACCAACAAAATACTCAGCGCAGATTCTGTATTTTCTGCATTATTTAAGCATATTACGCTATATTTTAGCACAAGTCACATGCACCAAACTCCCAGTTTTTCTTACAGGGTCACATAGTAACCCAGTAGCTGGACAACGCTCCTGCGGATGTCCAAAGTACATCCACAAAGACAAAAGTTGCAGCTTTAAGCTCCATGTATCTCATCCCTACAAAAACATTAAATATTTTGAGAAAAAAATTGCTGCTGATTCTAATAAATTACAAATCTGTGATAAGAGACAGCAATTCTTTTCCCTCACAGCATCGCTGTGCAGTGTCACATAAGGATCCCAGGGTTGGCCCTCAGCATCCCGCATGAGACTACCAGCACGAAACCCTGCATGGGTGCAAGGAAATAAAACATTTCAGGATAAAGGAGATTTATTACTCACTACCAGCTAAGGAAAAATCCTACTCAGGAAAAACATTTATAGCTTCACTTAAGTTAAACATCAAGAAAAAAACTACCGGGGATTAAGTCTGGTCTTGAAGTCCAGCACGTCAAGATTTCAGAAGAGTTTAACAATTTCCTTGCCAAGCAGACTGTTTGCAACAGGAGTATTTGCCCTTTCGTTTACYGCTAAAGCAGATCGTCTTTCCGAGTTGAAGAAGCCGGAAAAACTGGCACTTCTGGCATTTTTCCTTATACATTGGCATAAGTGTTACTTAAAAGCGCTGAGCCACTGGCAAACTTCTGCAGTGACGTTTCTGAGGTTATGCCTGCTCCCGTATGCACCAACATTTATGGAGAGGCTTTGCAAAAAGACAGTCTCCAAGAACCCCTAAAACTAAATTAATTCCTAACCATACCTTCAGGAGAAAGTAAATTACCATTTTCCCTGTGGTTTTAAGTATCTATTGAGAACATGATTTTCTCCTACCTCCCAGGGTTCACTTGCAATTTCAATGCCCTTTTAAAAAGGAATCTGTACTAACGTACACCCCTGTACAACCTTTCTTTTTCCCTTAACTAAATCTGACATTGCTTTCGGTTTCTCCATACGCTGTTCAGGCTTTCTTAAAGAAAAAAAGAAAAGAGAAAAAGAAAAAAAAGCACCTATAATCCAAAGAAATTCCTGTGAACGCAGGGGAGGCAACTCCTCCCTATGAGCAACATCTTTATATTGCCTGCGATTGCCTCCTGCAAACAAGGAGCTATTGAGGGAGCCTCTAAGGAACATTCCTGGCACGCCTAAGAAATGCCTTCAGTGCCCTGCACCAATACTTCACTCTTAAAATACATTTTTTGTTGTTCTTTTCAGCGGGATCGGAACGAGAAAGTTCAACAGTCTCCTGTCATGTGTTTCCACTCAGCTTTGGCGTCGGAGCTGCTGGGAGAACAAACCCACCTCCCTGCAACGTGGAGCCCGAGCTCAGGGGCAGCGCGACGGACCCCGCCAGGCTGGAGGCTGCCTGAAAGGAGCCACATTTGGGTGGACAAGGGAAAAACGAGGCCTTACGACAACAGCAACGGGTGTAGAGAGAACCGGAGYGATTCGGAGAGCCCATCCCGGTGCAGACGGTCATTTATTCTGAACCACCTCCACGTTTTCTGTGTTGGTATGAGAGGGAACAACCCCCAACCCTGCTGCTCTGTAAGTTCATATCTAAGTGAAAAAAAACCTGCTGCAATGTAAGGAAGATGCTGCCCGTTTGCTGTAAACCACAGTGACTCATCCCCGCGGCGCCGGCAGGAAGTGTCGCTTTTAGCTACAGTTAGAGCTAATGCTTTCTGGCCTGACGAAGGTGTCACCTTGGAGCAATCCAAGGTGTTGGGCAGGACACACTCCTCAAGTCTCTAGACACGCAGAGGTGGCGAAGCCAGTTAGAGATGCACCAAAACAGCCTATTTGCTCAAATAAACATCTCGCAGCGACCCCGTTCTGTTGCTGCCGCCGTCAAGATGCTCTTGGGTCTCCTCATTCACATTAATCAGCACAACTTCTTTGTTAGATGGGGCCTTTTGGGAGTAGGTTGTAAATTGAGGATTTCTGAGCTGATTTTGCCAACTTTAGCTGTAGTTTGTGGGCAGTTCACCCCTTGGCACCAAGGAACACGGGATCCCTTTGGCAGCCGCTGGCTTCGGCCCCATGAAAAATAACGTTGAGTCACACGCAGCCTGCGCGGCACAGATTCATCCAGGATAACATTCCTCGCCTGCGCCCTGATCCACTGGAATTCAAAGGATTATAATTAGTTTCTAGAGCACATCTGTTGCCAAACGCTGCCGAAATACTGAAGCAGAACACCAAAAATCAATACGTGCACTGTAAAGTTACCTAAAAACACCCTTCCTGACACCTTACTTGGGAGCTGAAAGTCAAATGTCCGATATTCCAGTTGTGATGAGCTTGGAGGAGCAGGTTCTGATTTCAGGCGTATCCTGAGGACGGTTTGGGCAGCGCGAGCCTGTGCGCAGCCTGCCCCGAGCAGGGCTCTTTCTCACAAGCTACACGAGGTCGTTGCTTGTACTTTTTTGGGTCAAGAAATGACTTTTGCTGCGTATCCGCTTGTTTGAGGAGCCAGTAAGACAGGACCTTCCCAGAACCTCAGCATTAAAAATAGTAGCCGTGTTTACACAGCCAGCCCTCGGGGGACCATGCAGAGGACACCGCGGGCCACACGTGCGCACAGATAAGGGGCTATCAAGAGCAGTGCTGAGTTAGGGCCCTGTTTATCAGTGCACGGACACGCACACACTGTCCAACACGGCTGCTGAAGCCGGGGTGGGCTAAACAGCAACATTTGAAAAAGCCCTTAAATTAAAAATTGCCGTTTTGCCTCCCCCCAGCGAAGCAGCGCACCCACAGAATCATCCTTTGGGATGAAATTCCCATGGAAGGGCTCAACCTCTGGTATTCCTAACTTCGGAGCTCCATCTTCTTCCAGTCCTRAGCACCCTACCGAGCGTGGACAGGGAAACACCGAGCAAAGAGCAACCAAAACGATGGCCAAGCACCACGCAGGCGTCGCGGCCCAGGGGCTTAGGCAGCTCTTAAGTGTCCCAGGCGAAGAGGACACAGCTAAGAGCAGCCTATGTATAGCAGCAGTAATCCCCCAAGGGCCCGGCTTGCAAACCGAAAGGGAAAAACGGGTTAAGTCACGGCAGATTAAAGAACAAACAGCGACCTTTGCAATGAGCTGCCAGGAGAATCCTGCCCCAACAGGCTGGTCTGCAGATACCCGAAGGATATGGGTAAAGCAGGAGGAATTTGCTGTAATTAGGCAGGTCACTGCTGAGCACTGGTCATCTCTGAGCAAGTGCAAAAGAGAGGATAAATCTCCCCCTGCCATCAAGCACTGCTTATCTCCCAAGCCTCCCAAAAGTATTTCCATATCAATCTATTTCCTTCAAAGGCTTTTCAGCCTTAAAACCCATCCATGATCTCCACTCCAGGTGAAAATGAGCGGTCTGGTATTTAAATTGCAGTGGTTAATGGTCTTAATTAAGGCAGTAAGTGCAGCTGCTCTCTCACCTTTTTGAAACATCTAGTTAAGCCCTTCTGGTTTCTGTRTTTCTCTCATAACAAGTGAAGCGACTGCAACAGGTCTCTTCCTTTCTGAGGAAGGGTTTAAGTCAGAAGTTTCTAAAAACCTGCCACCCAAATGCACTTTAAAAGCAGCTGCTTTCTGTTAACCTTTATGGACTCCCATTAAAAGTATGAAGATGTTGTCAGTGAACTCTCTGTCACCATTTAGCAATACAGAGAGCTAACAGAACAGTAGAGGCCAAGGATTTCTAATTACWATGTGAAATTAGGGACTAATAGAGTTTGCTCTCCCATTTCTCACTTGGAAGAGTTTTATTTTAACATGCCTGTCCCCCCGTAAGGTCTTATACGTGCTTCAGTGTAATCACAGCTGTCAAGAGAACAGCTGACTGATTTATTAATATAACAAGGGCAAAAAAACATCCATTGGTTTGCGGAAGCACAAGTCAAGGGAGAGCCGTCAAAGGAGATTTGCACGCGAAGCCCAGATCCCCACTCTGTTTACAACAGGAGGATACCCCGTCAGGTTTGTTTTGTCAGGCTCTACTTGCAAGGATTAAGCTGTATGGTTTTCCTTCCTCGCAGGCAAGCCAACAAGCAGATATGAACTGGGCTTCCGTCTGGGTGAGAACACTGCCAGAGGAGATTAAAACAGAAATAAAGTTTAATTTTTCTCATCTGCCATTATTTAGGCAGACCAAGAGACGCTGTCTTGCATKTAAGGAGCATCCTTATTTTCATAGGAGCATCCCTTGCATTCCCACCATGTTTACAGCAATGAGTTTCCTGCTCCTTAGGAGCAGGTCGTGTCCAACGCGCCGGTAGCCGCGACCTTTCAGCAATTAAAGCCAGGAGAAGTCAGAAACCACAATCACACCGAGTCCCGCTCAAAGCACTGCCATAGCCACACGTTCAGGGCAGCAGCGAGGAACCTGTGCCGTGAGGTGCCCGGGACCAAGCCAGACATTTCCACAGAGAGATGTTTTCCAACCTGACACCTCTTGCGGAGCTGGGAATTAGAATTAATCTAACTTAGATTAATTATCTAAATTAGCAGGGGAAGCACCTCTATGGTTCAGAGCCACTCTCCGTGAGACCTCACTGGCTTAGGGAGCAGGCCCAGTGCCTCGACCTCGCTTTTTATTCCACACRAGGGGCTGTCCTGCAGCAGAGCTGCTCCAAAGAAGACAGGAAAAGAGAAATACAGCATTTCTCAAAAGAAAGGAAAGGCACTTGCAGGAAAACAAACAACAACACATCATGCAGCACATGTGGTAAGTGAGAAGGAGCAGAAGTGAAGCAGAGATTGAACTAAGAAGCAAGTGAGAAGCTCCCTACACCTTAAAAACAAGACCAAGAACTTACTGTAGATACTCATCAGAGCAGCCGCTCCTTTACTGCTGATTCACAACCACATATGATCAGGAAGCTAACACTACTCAGAAACGAGCTTTGCGTTCACTGCGTTTCATATAGCAAGTTGTTTTGGTGCTAAGAGTGTTTAGACAATGCAGGGATTGAATAATGCCTCCCAGTTAAGTATTACGAAAACCATATGTTGCAACAGAGCAACCAAGCCAGATGTAAGATTTGCTGTGCCCAGAGCCCACTTCTTCCAAACACATCCAAAGCCTGCTCCTAAAATCCCAGCTGCTTCCCGCACGGTGAGGCTGTATGTGCTGGCCAGGATGCACCGTTCTGTTGTGGGTCTTAAATAAAAGCATCCAGCGTGATAAAACTCCCTTTAAGTGAAAGGTTCCCATTTTTTTTTCCTAAAAGAGGGAAGAACTCGGAACAGGCAACTAGGGGAAACCTCGGGAAAAAGCTGAGGGATGTCCTACAGTGAATGCTATCCACGATAACCATGGCCCAAAGGTTTGGAGTTTTAAAGGTCTGTGTGTGAGGAGATGATGGGACGGCCTTGGCTGTTGAGTGCCACCAATCTGCACTCCTGAGCTCCATCATTGCTACCTCCTGCTCGCTAAAGGGCCCAAATTCCCCTCAAAAGAGCCCAAAAGAGCCTTTCAATCTACTGTTCATGCCTTGAAGGTCAAAAGCTCCAGACTCTGCTGAATATTGTTGCTTTCTGAAAGGCACCGTATGTGTTCAAGCAACTCCAAGTGCAGTTTCGAAATAAAAATTAAGACCTTTAAACATATGATGTCGTCCATCTCAACAAAATATGTGCATTAGCAGCAAAACTGTCGGCAGGACAAAACAATCCATCAACCATCACCAGGATAATAGCCTGACCAAGCATTTCAGCCGTTTCACACACAGAAAGGATTTGATCACCGCTACGTCAGCAAAACTGCATCCAATTAACACTTAGAAGCAGAACTGGTCCAAAGTGCTGCTGTTATCAACTATTGTTTAAACCCTTCCCCGCAAATGATCTAGATCAGCTCAGTCATTTCTGATTTATCAGCAAAAAAAAAAAAAAAAAAAAGAAAAGAAAAAAACCCCAGCATTCAGTTCAGTCTCTGACCACTGATCATCAAGGGCATTAAAGCAAATAATTCAGTCCCAGTGTTTGTTCCTAGGCTCAGCAAAGCTCGGGGACTATGTGGCAAAATAGCTGCTCTGCGTGGCACCATCCTCTGAAGTGCACAACAAGCACTGACATTCAGGGCTGTTGTTCCCGAGCTTTGTGCTTTCGTAACCTGGCTATTTTCTGGGCTCTCTGTTGTTTGTGTTTCCCAAGAAAGCTCTGCCAACTTCAGACCCAGCTGCAGAAACTCATTAAAATCTGTGAATGCCGATTTGTTCGTTATTTGCTGCCTCCCTCTGCTGCTTTTTGTTAGGCTTGTTCTTTGGAAGAACAAAACAATGGGCGAAGATGGAAAAGGAGGAGGGAGGACGAGCGGGGCAAGAAAGCTGGGAGAGCAGAGATTTGTAATGTGAGACCCTGTAAACAGGGCAGCCTTGTGAAAAATGACGATTAAAGTCATGTAATGCCTATAATGCTCAGCTAAGCAGTGCATCAAAACAAAGCACTTAGACTGAGCAGGGCCTTCAAGGGAGGCCATACGAGTCCAGAGTTTCTATCCTGAAGGGCCTGATGGCTGCAGAACAGCCCTGAGAAGGGCAATGCTGCAGCACCRGAGCCCTGGACCGCAGCGGAGGGCTCGGAGATGGGCTCGGCTGCAGATCCAGCGCCGGATCCCTGAGGTGCTGGCGGCGCTTCTCACCATCCAACAGAATCGAGGCTCTAACRAGGATCTGCACAAAGAAACTGCTGGTTCTGGGCAGTTAAAGCGATCTGGGCTGGCACTGAGGCTGGGACTTCACCAGTCATGGCTCTGGACTCCAGCAACACTCATCACCCAAAGCAGAGYGGGTAAATCCGGGCGCTCCTTCTGCCACGGGCTGGTTTAACGGAGGCTCCACGGAGGGCAGGTCAAAGCAGCTCTTCACAGTGACTAAAAAAAGGGCTCCAAGGAGAACAGCTGCCTTGAGGGGGCACCGAAGATTAGATGTCCAGAAAAGCAAATCCCAACTCCTCCTTCTCCTCTGATGACTTCTTCACACGGTGTGTTTGCACGATGCAAACAGCTAATCCATGGGACAGGCATCAACATCCCAGGGAGAAGATAGAGAGATTCCCGAGTCCCAGTGCAAGGCAAACCACCTGGGTTGGTTTGTTGGTATCATGCTGCGTTCAGATGCAGCGCTTATTTTGCGGGCACTGCACTGTACACAGAGAGATCCAGGATAACGACAGCATCCCACCTTGGGATGGGGCGCGAAACCAAACATGGAGGAGAGGAAGAGCTCCAAGTCCCTTGCGCTTCCCAATAGGTAAAATGTTCCTTTCCAAGGACATTCCATCCCATCCACCCCAGCACCCAACCAGACTGGTAGCAAACGCTTTGGGAGAGTCTTTAACACATCTCCACGGCCACTGTAAAACTATCCTTCTGCCAGGAGAGAATTCAGTAAGACACAGGTTCAAATTAACATCCAAGAGACCTGACATCCCCTAATTTGTCCAGTCCCTTTATTAAGCCATTTACAGTTAGGGGCTCCTGCAGCAATGAATCCAACAACTTAATCATGCAAATGTAAAAAGCAGCTGCAGCTCTTTGCCTTGGCATTGCAAGGAGTGCTCCCTGCAACTTTTTGTCTTTAAAAAAAGAAAACATGCAAAGAAAACAGCAAAGYGTAACAACACCTAAATTAGATGCTACGGGAAAAAGGCAGGAAGGACATCACACAAGAGAAAAATCCAAGGAATATATAACTGTTCTGTTTGTGTCCTATCGACTTGGCAAGGAAAGGAGTGAACAAATTACATGAATTCCAGATTCAGGACAAAATCCAGCACGCYTGTGTACAGATCACACCATGTGCCACACACAGAGGCTGTTCTAMTGATGCAGAGTTGCCCTCGAAAGCCGGGCACACAGTATTAAAACAACAGGGTGAATCGCACAACRCCTGGTGCCGTGTGTTGGCGGACACGAGTGCCCACAGGAGGCTGTGTCGTAGCAACAAGTGCACAATCGGAGGTAACAGCACAACCTGTGCACGGGGGGCGTTGAAACAGCAGGCCCCAATCCAGGTTCTTCAAAGCTGGGGGGAAAAGGTGCCTCCTATTAAGGAGATGAAACCAATGGGGGCACGAGGCCTTTCCAGATGAAACCAACCTGGCTAGGATGGCTCCTAAAAAACCTCCATCCTCCCACGTAGCCGCTTTCCTCTAACGCTGGATGAAGCTGCCACGGAGCAGCTTCTCGCGGATGAGCAGGCACATCCCTTAGGTGGACGTGCACCGAACGGGAACACTAACACCTGTGTTAGCAGAGCTTTAAAGTGCAGGAATCACCCAGAGCCGGGTCAGGAGCAGAGCTCCRGAGGCCACGGCAGGGAACGCGACACCCGGCCAGCTGCGATGCTGCCTGTCCGTCCATACGCCCACAGGGACGGCTCCTGGAAAGTGATTCCTGCAAGGAGAGGCCTYGTGAAGCCGCCTGCATCCCAAGATCCGAAGGGAATGTTGCCTTACAGCAGGCTGGAAGCCTCGCGCTTCCAGGCTGACCAAAGTGCTCTGTCAGTGCGCGGATCCCCCTCCGAAGCCTGGCACGTCCTTCTCCGAAGCCTATTCGGAGACGTCCCGTATTAATAATCCCCTCGGAGGCACCGTACAAACGAGCAGCAGAAATTCAGGCGAAACTGCTCGCTGCAGCAGCCCGGGCGGAAACGCGAGGGCTCAACCYGGAGCATCCCGACCAGCTGCAGCGCAGGGCGCGGGATGCGCCAAGCCGGGAGCGCCGGCTCGCTGAGGCTCGGCGGGAAACACTCCTCAAATCCCCCTGCCCGGCACTGTCCGCTATGGAATTATTCCCAAGCCGCCTCCCCGCGATGGGCGCTCGTGCGGCTCGGGGCAGGCGGCGGCCTCGCAGCGCCGGGGCCTCCTCGGCGGGGCCGGGGCCGCCCGCTCCCACGGCC